AAGAGTCGTTGTGGCTGAAAGTTATAAAAGGAATTGAGAAATCGGCCTGAATGGGTCTAACAGTACGTAACCAAGTCATTCCGAGAACTACATCAGCACCTTTGATTGGGAGTAGGTAAAAAGGGAGGTTAAAAGGCTGGTCCTGTAGTGTAATTCTGACATTCTGACATATGCCTTGACATTGTAAATATGATATGTTTTCTACCATTATAGAAAATTGTGGTGTAGAGTGGGGATTAAGTTGAGATGGTGGAAAATTTAAGGTTGGAGGATGTTATGTGTGCTTCCTGTATCCACTAGAACCATCACAGGCAGCCCTGCAACGAGGCCTTGAAATTTGAGGGTTTGTGGGGAAAATTGACCCGTCAAAGCTTCAATTTGGATTCAATAAGTTTTGCAAGCTCAATGGCTTGAGAGATGCAGACTGGTTCGTGAATAGTGATTTCACTTTGAATATCTGGTGCCAATCCTGAAATAAAACAATTAAGGATAGCATCCTGTGGTAATCCAATAACTTGATTTCCCAAATTTTCAAACTTAGCTTGATAATCAACAACCGACCCATCCTGTTTTAACTTAAATAATTCAGCTTGGTGGTTAGCATAAGTAGAAGGACCGAAACGTAATTCCAACTCTTTAGTAAAGGAAGGTCAATCACTAAGTAACTGATTTTAATGCATCTATTTAAACCAACATAATGTTTCACCTTTCATATAAAAAGATATCATGGATAATATGTGTTCAGGTGGTAATTGATAAAAAGAAAAAAATCGATGAGCCTTAAATAACCACTCCAATGAATTGGAACCATTGAACATTGCGAGTTCTGTAACACCTCCTTTCTATACCCCAAATAGACAAATAAATCACTTAGGCACGTATTAAAATTTCATCAGAGTATAAATAAAACATGGTATAAAAGAGGTATGTCACATCATCACGAAATTAACATACAACACCTGCTCTATAAAAGACATGCAACAGTGAGGTAGCTTCAACGGAGGAACTTAGTCCTTACACCCACATCTCAATATTTAGAATTAAAAGCGGAAAATCTAAACATTGAATCATTTTAAAACATGTAATCACATAATACATATTATCCAGTTTGATTCACCACATCATTCATGTTTATATAAACATTTGTCATCAGATACATATACAAATGTATCTCAAAAGAATGCTATACAACCCTAACTACCCGGTGCTACATATCAGAGCTGACCGACAAAAGAATGAAGTTATACTTCACAAAAGACCTCCAACAACCTAATCTGCAAATGCCTCATAGAGCATTATAAAACAACAGAAGGGTGAAAAACATTATCATAATAATCAATGCATATAAACACACACACACACACACACACATATATATATATATATATATATATATATATATATATATATATATATATATATATATATATATATATATATATATATATATATATATATATATATATATATATATATATATATATATATATATATATATATATATTATATATATATATATATACATGCTTTGCATTCTCACCGCATTTCATCATAATTCCCTCATATACACCTCAACGTATATATTCACAATTACACATTCACAATTCACATTATTGCACATAACACACACACGCACGCACGCACGCACACACACACACATATATAACACCAAGCATATTTATCATGCATATATCCAAAGTTCTCAATTCAACAATTCATGCACATATACATATATTCACACAACATTTATCTATATGCCACGTGACTCAATACAACTCAACACAACTCATCAATTCTCATCAATCTCCATTTGAGACTATGGGTACATCGCTTGTACCCCACCAGGAACAACATCTCGGTCATTCTACCTCGGTGATCATTTCACTAGGAACGACACATAGTCATTCTACCCCAGTGAACACCAACACTAGGAACAACATCGTAGTCATTCTACCCCAGCGCATACGACTGTATCACGTAAACTCCACTAGGAACAACATCTCAGTTATTCTACCCCAGGGAGCACCCCACCAGGAACAACATCTCAATTATTCTACCTCGGTGATTATTTCACTAGGAACGACATCTTAGTCATTCTACCCCAGTGTATACGACCATGTCACTATACCTCACCAGGAACAACATTTGTCATTCTACCCCGGTGATCATTTCACTAGGAATGACACATAGTCATTCTACCCCAGTGATTACTCCACTAGGAATGATATCTTATCATTCTACCCCAGTGAGTACGACCTTACACATACACATATTTTCAACATCATCATCACCTTTACCACACAATGCACATATATCCGCAATATATTCTCATGCATTCTTCACATACAATCGCATATAAACAATATGCATTTACAATTAATACCATCACCACATTTATCAAGCAACACACACATATTCACAATATGTTCTCATGCATTCTTCACATACTATAACATATAATCGATATATATATATATATATATATATATATATATATATATATATATATATATATATATATATATATATATATATATATATATATATATATATATATATATATATATATATATATATATATATATTCACAAAATTGTGCCAAACAACAACAAACCTCATCACAATTCATCATGCATTTTTAATCAATTTAAAACAATGCATTATATACGCTAAAAGGCCACAATTCATAATCAATTCCACAAATCTAAGATTCACGCCATATGGCTACCCACAACACATCTTATCATAATAGTACACAAACTATTCAATTCAGATAAAGACTAAGTATAATCAAACCACACAATCAACATTGGATGGAAAACACAGGAAAAGAAAAATGATGTCACATTCGCTGACCTTCGCCTGACGAATGCTCGCTGCTCCCTCGCCTGGAGAACTCACTAGCGAAGGCAGACAGTAGCTACTGGAAGTGTTCGCTATCACTCGCTGCCTTCTTCGCCCGGCGAACTCACTCGCCACCTCCTTCGCATGGCGAACACACCAGCGAAGACTAAGTTTGGCCATTGTAATGGCTCGCTGCCCACTCGCTGGACTTCGCCTGACGAACCTTCGCACATGTTCGCCTAGCGAATGCTAGCGAACCTGCGAATTCAGAATCCCAAACTGTTCCAAAATCACCCAATCCTCCCAAAATCAACCAATTCAATTCCAATCAACTCCAGTAATCTTAACCCAACATTTCCGATTAAACTACGCCATTTATTCCCGATTCTAACCGTTCAAACATCGATTCTACCGATTAATCTCATTATGCCCTAGAATGGAAAATGGAGAAAACATCCAAACAATCCAAACCAATCATACATAATCATAAACATTGATAGAATAACAACATTTCACACCCTTACGTTGATTAAATCGATCCCAAAGAGTTGATTTTGAGTTTTCCAAGCTTTTCCCTCTTCTCCTTCTCTTTTCTCCTCTTCCTCTTTCTTTCTCTTCTTTTTCTCTTATGTTTCTATATTTCCTTCCTTTTTCTTTTCCTTTTCCACTTATACTCTTTCTATTCTATTTCTCTCCAAACATCCACTAATCCATTTCTCATAAAATATTTCAACTTAACATTAAATACTTAATGTCTAAAATACCCTCCAGTCTATTTTCTCCGAAACTCTCAAAATCGGTAAAATAGCTTAATATGCAAACATAACATATTAACACATAAATTCCACAATTAAAATATTAATCACACAAATCAATTAATTAATATAAATAATTAATTATCAAAAATTGGGTTGTTACAAATTCCAACTTAGGTGTTCGAAAAGGGTGAAGTGGAGGGTTTTGTGGCATTTGTGTATAGGAAAATTGTGGGAAAATAGGAATAGTATATTTGGGGTGTTTGTAAAAGCAAATGAGATAATGACAAAGGGTGGATCCATAAAGGTGTGGGGAGAGAAAAATCTGGATAGGTTTGTTGTTGTATTTCTCATGGGTTGAGTAACAATAGTTGGCGGGGGATTATGGGGAAGGTTTGCTGAGTTTATACAGGTTGTATTTGAATGGGTAAAAATGAGGAAACCATGTGGGGTAGTAGTGGTTTGGGTCAAAATAGAGTTAAAATGAGTTGTTGACATAGGGAGTGAATGAGGAACATGAGAGATACCTGATGAACTTGCAGAGTTGTGAACAATAGCTAGTTGTTGGAGTTCCTTTTGAGCTGCAAATTTAGTGAGCATTCCCATGATGGATTCAAATCTTAAATCAAAACATGTTTTTCATTCTCCATTCTAATTTGAATAAGCTCAATATCTGCAGTTGCTTTATCAAACCTTTCATTTCTTTGTTGTTGAGTTTGATTCATAGCATTATCAAGATGAATGTGAACAGTTTGCACAATTTCTTCTATAATTTCTCTAAAAGAAGGATTTCGGGGCTCGGAGGGAGCCATGAATTCTCTCAATTAAAGAACTAATTAATAGAACTTATTTAAAATATCACTAACCTAAGTTGCAAAAGATGAAACAATAAAAACAAATTTGAACTTTCATATCACATTCAGCAGCAAAGATTACATTAAATACTAGAGTTTTCTGCAAGCCACTTTTGGAAGATTAAAAACAGAAATAAACATTTACTAAATAATAATACCACCATTTCAGCCCACTAAAAGTAATAGTCTTTAAATCAATTGGATTTCTTTAATTTCCTTTTGGACTTAGATCCAGGTCCACTAACACAATTACTATGAATGGTTTAAAAATCCTACGAGTTTGTAGGAGGATGGTGATACTGTTAATCTTGTACATTGAATTGGAATACCCCTAATACTCTTAGTTGAATGAACTTATCAACAAAAAAAAAATTTCTTTCAGGCCAAATCGTAAAACGAAGTTGATCTGCTTCTGCTGAGAATTGTGTCGTGATATCCTGTGCACATTGGCTTACTTAGTAAACTCTAATGATTGAACATGTTTGAACAAGAGATTGCCGATAATCTCCTAGTACTCATGAATAAACTATTGAGAAAAACTTGATTCTCACATTTTTCTGTTATATTTCTCAGCTAGATTTTGGAGCGATAATCTCTTACAAAATGCCATATATTTATCAAGGGTAGTTTTAGCATATTTTTGACAAAAGTCTTCATCGGTTGGAAGTAGAGATGGTAGAGGAAATGGTCCTTTGGGAGCTTTCTTTAGCGAAACCAAGAACCTGTGGCGAGGGCGAATTCTCTTGTCCAAAGACAAGCTTAGATACGTAGGGTATTTGGTCAAAGATCGCGCCTCATTGTGAAGTTCATTAACCAAATACAAATACTTCGGCTTTAGATTAGCCTCCAAGGAGAGCGATAGCACCTGCGGGAACACAATAGTCAACAAGAATAATAAACTATTAGTCACGTTACAAGAATCAATTTGAAAAATGAAAAGAAATTATGATGAGTATATAACACTATTTCATTTTCCTTGTTTTTCTTGTGCGGAAATCTAAGTTGAACTGTGTTCGTCCGAAAGTGTATAAAATTTAAAGAAAGGATTGAATACAGAAAATGAAGGCAAAAATTACCTGCGTAAGGCTAGTCAAGACTTTCAAGATGTCGGCATTGTTCATTCCTATGCTCCTTAGGAATTTTATTTTTGGAAGTAATCCATCATCAATACTGTAATGGAGAAGCTGTGGGTGTTTCGTTACCATCTTCACAATGCTCTCTCTTGACGCACCCAACTCTTTGGTAAAGAACATAAGTCGAGTATTCCATAAAATGTCAATACTCTGGAGTAGAATTTGAGGACTCAGATTAATGACTTTACCCAAAATTTTTTCATTGATGCCAACTTCCTCAATTAAATATCTCACCCTTGGTTTTAAGGATCTCTCAACACTGTAAGAAAAAAGGGACGGAGTAACAGCAATAAATTGCCCTAATTTGGAACTAGGTACACCCAAGCTCATAATGAAAGCTACATGTGTCTTCAAATTGTTCTCCATCGCATACCCGAGAATTTGTGGTTGCCGCAAAAGAATTCTTCTTATATTTTTATGTTTAACTCCAAGACTCATTAAGTAATCTAACTTTTCCTGTGCAGTACATACATTAACTTGCAATGATGGCGCGTGCTTCTCATAAATTTGAACCAATTCCGAATTGTTAATTCCAAACGTTCTTAAGTAATCAAGAAGTGGTGAAAATTTCACATCCAAATCAATCTCTTCAAACATATCTCGAGATCTTTCCACAGAAGAAATTCTACCAAACTGTAATTCAAAACAAAAATCAAAAGAGCGAATATAAAATTCCATTACTGTAGCCCAAATACATTAAATAACATCATTTAATACCTAACACTTCAACAGCTTATTGTATCACCAATTAGTACCTTTTCACTGTAATTTTGTTGTAAGGATGCTTTTCTCTGTCTTATGGACAATTTACTACTTTTTCCATTCTTAAGAGATTTCACGTCCCCTCCATTTTCCTGATGTCTAACTGTTCCAACACAAAAAAACATTATGCTTCTATAAAGAACAATGTGTCGGTCGGGTACGCCATCAATGTGAAGTGTAGGATACATAATTCAACTTTCCCCTTCAAATAAAACTCTTAAGATCTCTAGCACAACCACATATCCACCTACACTTGTGATCACGGTTTTAAAAAATGGTCCGCGGCAGCGAAAAGGGCCGCGACAAAACGGTTTTGGCAGATGCCGATACCGTTATTACCTTTTTCTATGTTAAAGAACACATTGTGGCTAATTCACACCGCGACAACTGCAACCAGGTACCAACCGAAATCGCGAAAGCCTTTACGCGATCACACCCATCATTCTTTTAAATTATTACCGTTATTGTCGTGTCAGTGTCGTGTCCGGTGTTAGTGCTTCATAGCTCTTAAGTATAACTTTTTCAAGCATACCTGCACGTGTCTTAGATTTCGATCTCTTGTCTTTAGCATCAAAATCAGCAGACTCAGTAAATTCCTCCTGAATAAAATACAAGTTACATAACCAAAAATAACTCAAATCTGAAATGCATCACGAATATAACAGAAAAATGGAACAACTTATTTCTCCAATTCAAACAGCAACTTAACTTTTTAAATTGAAATAAATTACCAATTCATTACAGAATTTAAATATGAAATAGTAAAATTTCATTGCAAATCTCACATCAGAAAAGAAATCATCATCATCATCATCTTCTTCTTCTTCTTCTTCTTCTTCATCGTCATCATCATCGTCGTCATCATCATCATCATCAATCTCGAAGAGTTCTTCATCATACTCGTGCAGTGAGAGGGTTTTGCCATAGTTTGATCTTCTGTTGGTTTTGATAATATTAGGATTTGAATGAGTAGAAAGCACGGTGAAGGTGGTTCGTTTGGAAAAGGAAGAATGAAAAGAATATTTAGATGAAGAATTTGGAAGAAAGTTGAAAGGATTGTAAGGGTGAAGAGTTAGAAATGTAGCCATATTGAATTTGAAAGTAGAGAGAATGTACTGAAAAACCCTAATTTGGTAAAGTTGAATTTTGTTGGTACGGATAATTTTATTCAATGAAATAATTACATGTCATTTTTTATATATTTTTTATTTAAAAATAAATTAATATTTTAAATTATTTTGTATTATCGGTATTCAACTATTTATCATAGATGTATATCCTTCTTTAACAAATTGAAACTAAGATTTAGCTTATATAAACATAGTCAAACTAAATAAAATTTAAATGCAAATCAAATTGAATCTTAATTAACTAAATTTAAATTACACTTCAATAATTTGAATTTGTACTCGTACAATGAGATATCCTACTCAACTAGCTTAACATCACTCTTTGATTTTAATATTAAACATTAAAAAATTATAACTAGAAAAAAATACAATAATAAATACAAAACTGAACATAAAAGTGGACAATTAATAATAATAATAATAATAATAATAATAATAATAATAATTTGAAAAAAATAAAATAATAATGTGTGGTGGAGTGAGGATGTGAGCCTGTTGGCTGAAAAAACCCACGTAGCGTTTTTAAAACATTTGGGTATTGTCTTCAGTTTTTTAACCAGTAAAGGGTTTTCGATGTTACATGTTAGTTTGATTCTGTTACCATGGAAGCACTAGTTTGTTGTTCTCTACCTTCCTTAACCACTGCAAAATCCAGGAACATAGTTACAAAGAATTCTTGCTCCTTAACAGTGCGAAAAACCAGTGATTTATCAGTTAAGAATTCAAGAACAAGAAGAAAATCAAGGACATGTGCTGTGTCTGTGAGTGATGTAACCACAGTACTTGATCCAGCTCCAGTGGAGATTACATGGCAAATTGTTGTTGGAACTATAGGTAATAATAATATATCTATCAAACAACACTCTCTAGTGTTTAATTAAATATTTCTATGATTTTTGGTTGTTTCATTGATTTGAAATTTGTAGCTGGAGTTACACCTTTTGTGGTGGCAGGGATTGAATTCAGCAAGAGAATTGTAAGCCAATTTTTCTGTTAATTATTGCTAGTTCATAAGTTATTGTAAATCTCATTCTTTTGCGTTTCTTTGTTTTTTCAATTCGAATATTTGTTACAGATAGCTCAAAAAGAATGTGAGACTTGTGGAGGGTCAGGACTTGTTTTTAGAGAAAACAACTATTTTCGTTGTCCCGAATGCGGTATGTTTTTGTAATCTCTTTATCTTGATTATAAGCCTTTTGATTCTTTCTGTCACATTTTTAGTGTTAATGTTTTGCAATCCTTTTTCATATGCTATATATTTCAGGTGGATTTCTTCCTTGGCAATCATGGAAAAGATTTTTCTCTAGTTAATGTTTTGCAACAACATTTTAGCACAAATTCTTTGTTTGTAGCATATAGATATAGTAAACTTTTTTTCAGTTACAGTAGCCTATGATAAACTTATTTGTAAGTATTACTATTACAAGCATTATTATAAACATGAACATCAAACTCCACATGGGAGAAATGAATGTTATTTGCTATTTTATTTTACAATCATGGTCCATTAATTAAGTGCTGAAAGTAGTATAGAAAAACTTAAGTTTTGTGAACTTGATTGATTTGGCAATGCGTATCAAAGACGATGAATAACAGGAATCAAGTATAAGTCATTTTTTCTTTCTACCAAATGGTAAAAAATGGTAAAGTAACTCAGCAAGAGGCAACACGAGGTTGGATATGCAACCTCAATGTTTCTTTGATAACAGACTTTAAATATATCAACTGGTGCAACTCTGTCTCATCTATAAACCCCTTTTTATCAAACACTATTCTTACCTCAGCTTGAGCTGGGTTCTTTACCATCTCAGACATCCCCCTAAAAGTATCCTTGACGATGTCTTGGTACCAGCAGAAAACATATCCTGCAAAAGGGATCAACGGTAGTAATACTATCTATTATATTAACCAACACTCTAAACATTAATTATTCTAAACGCACTTAAATTTTTCTTCAGAAACCCTTACTTATAAAACATTTCTCAACCAGTTTTTAAAATTTAAAAAATAATTATATTATGTTTAGTTGTTGACTAACCAAGATGACGAATTTAATGGTCTCATCTGTCAAGGGATGCCGTGAGTGATCATTTTCCCGTTGAATATGGACAAGAACATCAACTAGATCCGCATTCTTGGTTGCTTCTATGTGACAATGTTTGTGATCATTGAGGATGTCTTGCAATGTTAGATCAATCTCTCTATGAACTTTTTCCATTTTGGTCTTAGACCTACTCACCCTTTGAAGCATTCTGAATGAAGGATACAAATCAGAAATACAAATCCTCCCAATATGCTTATTGCTTTACTTATCATTGATTTGAACACTTGTTGGTGTCTATTCTTTTTTTCCAAAAGTATCCCGCATCATTATCCCACATATCATCGACTAAATCCTCTCCGTGAGATTAACAACAGCGGCTTCACTTGCAGATTTTGGCTATTATGGTGAACAGACTATCATGTATGGCACCTCACCAAGTTTTAGGTGCATCAAAGGTCCATATTTCTCTGCCAATTATTTGAACCAGTGGTGAGGCAGTGAGGCACCAGAAATGGCCAAAGAGATTATGAAAATGCAAGAACTCACATCTTGTAATAGGCCAAATCTTATATTGTCAACAATATTTAGTTATAGGGCTATATATATTTGATAATGTTAGATTTGATCATAGATTAGGGGCATGGTCCAAAGTTGGTCCTGATCTTAGATGAGGTTGGAAATAATGTTTACCTGTCTTTAATTTTTCGATCCATCTTACATATTTTAACATGTTTAGATTATGTGTAACTCACATGCCATTAAATAAAATGTCTATAGCTTTCATGAAAAGTTATGTTTTAGATTAAATATGAGAATAGATTTGGGACTGCATAAAAAAAGGGGTTAATACTCAATTCGTCCTTATTATATGAGGAGAATTTTAAAAATGACCCCATAAAAAATATATTTTGGTCACTCATTTGAGTTAGTCAACAAAATAAATGACATGGCACTTGGGATTACAAGACTAATGGTGCTACCAACTGAACCATTACAATCTTGAGTTAGAAACTTTCATGTAATATATTTACTATATATCTATTTTGCTATATGATATTAGTGAAGGATTCATAGGGTGCTTGGTAGCTAAACATTAGATGATCTTTGTGTATAAAAGAATCTACATGAGAACCCTCAGAATGCTCAGAAGCTGTTTGATGAAATGCCTGAGAAAACATCACATCAACAGTTGAAGAATTTTCCTAAACCTTTCTTTAATCCTATAAAAATAAACCTTTTAAGTGTTATTTTTTCACTTTTTAAAAAGCTAACTTATATCTTTCCTTACCATATATTTCGAAAAGCAGTCAAACAATCCATGATGTCAAAATATCATCTTGAACAAAAGAATTTCAAGTTGCCATGACAGTAGTTGAACCAGCTCCAGTGGAAATCACATGGCAAATTGTTGTTGGAACTATAGGTAATGATAATATATCTATCAAACACAACTCTCTAGTGTTTAATTCAATATTTGTATGAATTTTGGTTGTTTCACTGATTTGAAATTTGTAGCTGGAATTACACCTTTTTGTGGTGGCAGGGATTGAATTCAGCAAGAGAATTGTAAGTCAATTTTTTGGATGATTATTGCTACTACTTGATAATTTATTGTGAACCACCTTCTTGCGTGTTTCTTCGTTTTTCCATTTTGAATATTTGTTGCAGATAGCTCAAAAAGAATGTGAGACTTGTTTTTAGAGAAAAGAACTATTTTCATTGTTCAGAATGTGCTATGTTGTTTTATTGTATTCTCTCGATCTTGATTATAAGCCTTTTCATTCTTTCTGTCACATTTTGTTTTAATGTTTTGCAGTCCTTCTTCATATGCTATATATATATATTTCTTCCTTGGCAATCACGAAAAAGATTTTTCTCTAGTTAATGTTTTGCAACAACATTTTAGCACAAAGTCTTTGTTTATAACATATAGTAAACTTTTTTTTTCCGGTGGTTGCAGTAACCTATGATAAACTTATTTGCAAGTATTACGATTACAAACTTTATTATAAACATGAACATCATACTTCTTCATAGGAAATATGAAAGTTATTTGGTATCATTTTTACAATCATGGTCCATTTATTAAGTGCTGAAAGTATTATAGAAAAACTTAAATGTTTTGTGAGTTTGTTTGATTTGGCAATGCGTATCAAGGACGACAAATAAAAGGAATCAAGCATAAGTCATTTTTTCTTTCTACTGTATTCCCAAATGACTCAGTAATATCAAGTTCTTCATTCTTCATTCCATTGGGAAGCTTCCAATCAAAATGGTAAAGTAACTCAGCAAGAGGCAACTCAACGTTGGATATGCCAAAAGCAATGCTTGGACACATCCTCCTTCCAGCACCAAATGGTATGTATTCAAAGTCTAAGCCTTTGAAATCAATTGGGTTATTAAGAAATCTCTCCGGTTTGAAACTCTCAGCATCAACCCAATACTTTGGATCTCTTCCAATTGCCCAAACATTAACAGCAACCCTTGTCTTAGCCGGAATATCATACCCATTGATCTGATATTTCTCCCTACATTCTCTTGGAATTAACAATGGTGCAACCTCAATGTTTCTTTGATGACAGACTTTAAGTATACTAACAGGTGCAAATCTGTTTCGTCCACGTATCCTTTTTTATCAAACACTCTTCTTACTTCAGCTTGAGCTGCTTCCATTACCTTTGGGTTCTTTACCATCTCAGACATCCCCCATATAACTACCCTTGACGATGTTCTGGTACCAGCAGCAAACATATCCTGCAAAAGGGATTAACGGTAGTAATACTATCTGTCAAGGGATGTTCCGAGTCATCATTTTCCTGTTGAATCTTGAGAAGAACATCAACTAGATCTGCATTCTTGTTTTCTTCGGTGCGACAATCTTTGTGATCATTGAGGGTGTCTTGCAATAATATCAAGCTCTCTATGAAAATTTTCCATTTTGGTCTTAGACTGCTCACCCTTTGAAGAATTTTAAATGAAGGATACAAATCAAAAATACAAAATTCACCCATTAGGCTTATTGTTTTATTTATCGTTGATTTGAATACTTGTTGGTGTCTACTCTTTTTCCCAAAAGCTGCTCGCATTGTTATCCCACATTTCATTGAGGGAATCATTTCTGTGAAATTAACAATAGAGGCTTCACATGCTGATAATCTGATGTATATTTCCTATGAGAAGCAGTGTCCATGGTCCTGGTAGTAAATTAACAACGGATTTCTTACAACTCATTATTTTAACTATTTTTAACAACACCAAAAGCAAGAGAAAGAAGTATAAGTAGGGAATTTTGTAAAAAACATTGTGAAATTCCATGATGGTAAGAAACTGCAAATGGTAGTGTTCGTGTGTGTTACTTTAAGATTAGTTTGTTTATATATAGGGGAGGGGGTGTTATGGGATGATCCAAATTTGGTCCTTATTTAGATTATGGTTGATAAACGTTCCATGTAATAAGAAGTCTATATATAGGTTTCATGAAAAATTATGGATTTGAATAAATATGATAATAGCTTTAGGACTTAATATAATTTGAACTATTGAAAAAATTGGTCCATCATGGACAAATTACACATTGATTAAAATATTATAATATTTGAGTATAATTTGGACTATTGAAAAATTGGTATATCATGGTCCATCATGGACGATAAGATAGATTTTGGGCTATATGTTATTAAAGTATGATTTAGATGGTTGATTTAACTATTACAATAACTAATACCCATGAAACATCTATTTAATCAAACTTAGTTGATAATTACAAGGATATGTTAGAAATATCATTGAAGTCGAGCAGATTTAAAATTGAATCGTGAATGATGTCACTTTTTTTAAAAGTATTTCAAACATTCTCTTATTTGTTTTAGAGTCGGAATGCAGAAATATCTGAGATAATTCAACCTTATATCGAATTTGCGTAAGACTGACGAAAACTCGATTATGTAGCGAAGAGTGTTTGTAATTTTATAGAAGAGGATATTCGGTTTGTGATGTGATTTCTGAATTTCCAAATGAAGTATTTATAGGTCATGTATGTGTTGTTTCACAAGGTTGCGACCCTTAATGAAACAACACATTTTAATCAAAAGTTGTCATGTTTCCAAGCATTGCCTATGTGACGATGATCGGCCGCCGGAGCGCCACCGGCGCCGCCTCATAACACAACAAATAGCCCAATTGCTCTGATGTGTCGTGCCTAAGTGCTCAAGTATCGCCTACAGGCTACAACTAGCGCCTCTACGCCCTCGGATCTGATTTTGGAGCTGGTGTCGCCGAGAGGGGGTGTTTGGAGGAGACAAGTGACATAATGCTTGAGACCACCACACTCGTACATGTGAAAGTTTATCCTCTTTTGTCCTTTTATTGAGTTAAAACTCATAACTCTTTATAAAGACTTTTTAAGTGAGTTAAACTTTCTATGTGAGACTATTTTCCAATCATTTATTGGCATTTACTCCCTTTCACTTTTTCTTGTCATTTTTGAACACATTCATGGATATTTAATGTTCATAAATTACAAAAATCTCCCACTTGTTCTAATAATGACAAGACCAATTTCAAAATAGAGAAACAAAGAACGTTAATACAGTTAAGTATCTTTCGATTTGAAATTAACCTTAGCAAGAATAACGCAAAGTCTAATCAGAATGTTAGGTAGCAATGCTTTGAACCATTATCCCTTGTGATTATACCAACATTACCTTACATAAACTCTTTAATGGTTCTTCGCATACATCTCTCGCCTAACACTATTTATGGCCATGTGCTTTTCTTTTTTTCATGAATTTCTTCATGAGAGAAACTCCAACTCTCATTTTGAGACGACACCATCTCGAAATTCACATAGGTGAAGTTCATATTGTATCATTTTCCATGAGACAAATATCCCCGGTATTGAACCTCATTAAGAGTTTAAATAAAAACTCAACTCTCATTTTAAAGGTCAACATTATCACGAAATGTTAGACAAACATCCAAATCAACGACTTGTTGTTACCCATTGAATATTGAGGTTAATGTTCTATCAACATAAGATTAGGTTGCCGCCGCTGTTAGAACTCTTACTCAAGGAGTTTCAACCTCATGTCTCTCGAGGTTGTTTTACTAAGTCTTTGGCCAATGACTTAGTAAATCGATTACCGAAATTATAGCTCGTTGTATATAGGTGAATGAAATGATTCCATTGTTAATCAATTTTCTCACAAAAGTATGTTTAAGACCAATGTGTCTAAACTTTGTATATTCATTGAATGCTCTTGCTAGGGTGACTTGGCTATCACAATCTATCAACACATTTGAAACATTTTTCTTAGTCAATGGGACTTCCAACAAAAAGTCTCTCAACCATTCTGCTTCTTGACCAGCGGAAGCAAGAGCCGCAAACTCTGATTCCATAGTTGAAAGAGTAATGCATGTTTATTTCTTACTCTTCTAAGAGATCGTACCTCCAACTAATGTAAATGTCCACCCAATCGTATATTTGTAATCTCC